GTGTAAAATGGGTCAAAACAATCAAAATCTAGCACATTTATGTCTCACAGATGGACAGTTTTGGCCACAAAAAACTCTCCCCCTCATGTCCAGTCCACCCCCATGTGAAGAGACAGGAGCACGGGGCCAGGGTCTAGTGATAGCTGTTGGGGATGAGAGCTGGTTAGCGGAGCAGAGAGGAAGCCAGGCTACAACACCAAGCATTGCAGCAAGTGCTGGAGCAGGAAGCAGAGGGACGGGACCGAGGAGTCGGGAGGCCTCTGCTCCGCCAGTGCGACGGGGCAGGGTGAAACAGGCCCAGGGAGACCCAGTTATGGTCACTGGGCAAATCGCATCAGTCCTGCGGTCACTGCAATCATCCTGTGGCTGCATCTGGAGCTCGCTCAGTTCGGTGCAGGTGAAGCCCAGGTGCTCGCCCCTGAGATTAGTGCTGTCTGGTACGTGCCCCAGAACTGCTGTCACCTCTTTGGATGGATGCTGGCACCCACTCTGTGCTCCAGGTGCTGCCTGCAAAATACCACCCTTCAGTTTTCTCCGCTGCTGCCTGGACTGCCCTTGCTATGTCTGCACAGGGCATGCAGGGGAATCAAGTTCTAAACGCACTTGAGACCTCTTGGCTCCGCTCAGAAGATAATGCCAGTGCGGCCTGAGCCAAGCACTCCTCCACTGAAGCCACCGCTCCGGTGGGTTTCAGGCTCTAGCAAACACTATCTAAAATTAAAATAGTTTTCATTCCCAACCAAACAGTGCAAAGAAGGGGGCAGCCAGCCCTTTCCTGACCGCCTAGCAAGCCCAGTCCCACAATACCGGAGCGCTGTCGGAGATGTTGTTCCCCAAACACCCCTGCACGGCAGGGCAAAGCCCCCCTACTCTCCCAGACTGAGAGGCAGAGCGCCTTGGGGTACAGACAAGCAAACTGAAGCGAGTTAGTGGGGACGGGGATTTAGCGCAGAGTAGCTGCTGCCAGGTAATCGTTTCTGCATCCATAATTACACTGCAGCAAGTGAAAACAAATGGGAGACAGCTTCCCCCTGGATGCAGCAGGGCTCAGTGACACTGGTTCAGTTTTCCCTTGCCTTTGTGCATGTAGCTGTTCATGAACCAGCCACAACACACAAGCTGCTCCCTGGTACATCCCTGCCCCTGTTCACTCACTTGAACAGATCGTGCACCCGTGCCTAAAGGGCCACGTCCTAATCCACCACTTAAAGGCCCCTTGGCAGCTTTTGGGGGTCTGCATCACTACATGCCAGATTGGCAGGGAGCGACCTAGGGGTGCCGTGAACTCCCCTAGCATCCCCCCTACCGTGCCAAATTGGTTTCAATGCACCCTCTCTATCTCGCCTGCCACGTCTTTGATGTTAATTATTGGTAAAGGGAGGCTCCCTTTTTACCCCCTTTGGCATGGTGCCCTGCCTTCAATAACACTGTGCACTATAGCCTCTGGGCTACGCGTGGGTCCTACCGCCACCCGTGCCCTCATGGGCCCTCTGGCTTGTCTTTCTCCATTGCCTGTGTCCTCACAGACGCGCTCTGGCTTGTCCTGAGGCTCCTCTCATTCTTGTAGCCTGCACTGGGGCTCACCTCGCAATCGAGGCTCAGGTGGCCGTAGCCGTGTCTGGCTCCCAGACCCCCTTCTTGGGTCTTGTGCCCCACTGGGCTTCTCGCCTGTGCCCATACTGGGGCCTTCTCTCACGACACTGCCCGTGCTGGGGCCAGGGTTGATACACCCCAAAACGCTGCGCCCTCTCTGGCGCTGGGTCTCCACGCTACCATGGAGCCCTGATTAGGCCTCTCCCAACCCCTAGTAGCCTCACCTGGTCCTCCGGTCTTATACAACTACAAAAAGAGGAAACTCCCGCTCCTGGGCTACAACATAAATTCCAAGCCAAACCGGCTAACCATCATCCATGTCCCTAGCAGGGTTTCCTCCGCCCAGTATCATCAGGCAGAAACCCCTCAGGCGCCTCTGCTCTGCTCACTCCCAGCAGAGCTCCCTCTTCCTCAGCTGCTAGCAGGGAACTGGACCTCTCTGGCCTCAGACTGGATTGTTTATATAGGCCAGGCCCCGCCCCCTTCTGGTCAGCTGACCAAACTGCGGTTGCCCTGGCAACCAGCACCTGTCCCTCTTTCTAGGCGCAGGGCACGGAAGCGTCCTGTGACGCCGTCCTAATGCACCCTGAGCAACAACCAGCACCCCTTGGGATGCCGGGCCGGACACAGGCAGGGGTGGACCAGGCGGCTGCCTGGGACCTGGACAGAAAGGGGGCCTGAAAATGGTAATTTTTATTATATTATTATTATTATCATCATCATTATCTCTGGCGAAGGGAGGCCCAATACTAAAAGTTCGCCAGGGGCTGCCAGGTTGGTTGTGTTCCTCATGCCTCTCTCGTGCGGCCGTGTGAGCAAACTCGTAAGAGCTCCACCAAGCCGTCTGCCTCTGCTTAGACCCTGTTGGCAGCATAACCCACCCCGGGAAGTGTCTCAGTTCTGCCCAAGTCCCCCCCAAGCTTGAGCTGCAGGAAAAATACCGCTAATGCCTGCTCAACACAGGCAGGTGCCTCACCTCCCCAGACAACTGCCTAGTGGTTAGGGCACCAGTGCAGGGAGTGGGAGACGCAGGTTCAAGCCCCCCCCGGTAGCCAGAGGGGGTTTGAATCCACATCTTCCACTTCTGAGCAGTGTTTGGACCTGGGCATGGGCACCCCCCTGGGCAGCGAGCAAGGGCCAGGGGGAAAGCAGGTGCAGAGGGCAGCACGGGAGGAGCTTTCATCTTTGCTGTGTCCAGCAGCTGCCGTCTTCCCCCACCCCTCCCAGAGCAAGGCGTCCCTCGCCTGCTGCTTGCACGTGTCCCTGGGAGGCTGAGTGGAGGGGGGATGGGAAGGACGAGGTCAAGAGCAAACAGGACAAGGCTCATCCCTCACTGCTCTGTGTCCTGAGGATTTATCCTCTGCCTGCCCTTGAAGGCCCTGGGGAGGCAGAGGGGCCTGGACCTCATCAGGAGCCCATCCCCTGCTGCTGTTAGCAGGGATGGGAGACAAGGGGGGCTGTATCCCCCTGCCCCTGTCTTCAGCAAGGCTTGGGGTCCAGGGCTGCAAATGAAACTGCTTCCTATAACTAAAGTGAGTGGAGGGAGCGGAGTGGGGGGTGACCCCTCTCAGGGGTCCAGCTTTGTACAGGTATGTACTGGGGGTGGGGGGTTGGTCTGCACATGCCATACAGGTGTGAGCATCTCTGCCGGGCGAGCAGAGTTTCACAGCTCTCCCTTGTCACAACCAGGGACAGCGAGGTGGGATGGCATGGTGGTGGGGCCCTGTAGGATGCTACGGAGACAGAAATAGGGTCTTTAATGTCCCTGTGCCTCAGTTTCCCCCACATAAAAGGCAGGGCAGCAACAGTGGTACTCCTCTCCCGGTCCCAGGCATGGCACGAGCATCACAGGGTGGGGTGAGGTGGTGTTAATATCTTTGATTAGACCCACTGTACGGCTAGGAGAGATGGCAGACAAGGTCTGGGGCAGAAGCAGTCTGAGCTAAAGCAGATGAAGTAATGATTTTTTAAATGAAAAGACGTGGAAGGGGGCAGTAACCCTGTGCAGCAAAGAGAAGTGAGCAGAAGCCGCTACAAGCCAAGGGAAGGGCAGCCGAAAGACAGATACTAACTGTGCGACAGCATGAGGTCATTAAAGAGGGAAGAGGTGTCTTATTACCTGTGGCATGCAGAGCAGTTAGCAGGAGCTGATGGGTTTTTTTCTTTTGAAAAAATATTTCTTTCTCTCTATATAAATATATATATATATATAACTCCACCTCCAACACTGCCAAGTGACCCTTGTGTGTCACTTGGCAGCTCAAAGCACACTGAAAACCCATTAGACCATTCGCACCGCACAACCACCCCTATACCCAAGCCCCCTCTCGCTGCCCTCCTCAGAGGGTCTACTCTTGAAAACATCTATGCCAGACCCCCCTCCACCAGATGAGGTCTGCTGTTTCTCTCCTGTCGTCCATGGTTTGGACAGGGCTGATCCTGCCTTAGGCAGGGGGTTGGACTGGACGTGACCTCTGGAGGGCCCAACTTCTCAAAGAGCCTGACCTGCGCGGTGCAGTGCAGACTATTACTAAAGGTGAATCGAGTGCAAGCAATAAAAAGCACAGTATTGTGGGGTTGGATGGGCCTTCAGGGGCCATGTACTGTGCTTTGCAACTTCACCCCCCTAGTCTGCGGAGGGGCTGTCCGCCCTCGCCTAGGGAGCCTAAGCGAAGCACTCAGCAGCTGCCACTAGCATCAGGCAGCTCTCGCTGCTCCGCCTGCCTCCTCATTAGCCAATGGGAGCTGCAGTGTGGCCCGTTTCCTGTTGGAGAGATGATTTCCTCCTGCAAACCTTCCCCCTGAGCCTGAGACCCTGCTGATGCTCTCAGGTGCAGGAGACCCCAGGAGATGCATCTTTACCTTTGATGAAGCAGGGGCCTTGGAGCTGCTGCAGGGTGGCTCTGTGAGCCCGTGGCCGCCGGGAAGGGGGGAGCAAGATGCCTGCAAAGGATTCTGCCTTGCAGGTAAGAGATTTAAGTCTGGGCTTTGCAGAGTGCCAGCTCTTTACCATCTGCCCTTACTCCCAGGTGATGATATTTCAGCAGGGAAATAACGGCAGGGGCAACGGGACTCCTGGCCGTTTTCCTCTCGGCTGTGGCCAGCGGCGTCAGTGCTGCAGAGCTGGATACGTTCCAGGCACAACATCCTTGCCGAGCGCTTGCGAAGAGCCTGCACAATCGCTGCCCAGCCTCTGTGCAAGACGGAGAAGGAGCAGAAGCCTTTTAATAGGAGGGAAGACTATTTTATAACGGAGAAATGGCAATGTGGACAGCCCTGCTTTTGTGCATGCAAAGCATTTTTCAGACATGCTGCGTGCACCCGACTCTGTAGTCTTCCCTCAGGCAAAACTCCCATTGACCTCAGTGGGTTTTCCCTGCATGCACAGTGTGGGATCAACCTGACCAGTTAAAGCCCTGGAAGCTGGAGGGAGGGATCCCTCCACGCTCTAACCCCCCTGCCCAGTGCTCAGAGTCCACCTGGGAACAGCCGTTTTCCAAAAGGCAGAAGTAGAAAGCTGGACCTTGTAATTATCCTGCTCGGGATGCAGGATGGGAAGGGTTTAGCAAATAGCTAATTGCTCCTAACAATTTCTGCAGGGGTTTTTGCCCCTCCTTAATACCTCCCATCAAAGCTGGGTGAGCGATGGAAGTCATTCCTGGCGTTATTTCCTTTCGAAAAAGAAATGCATGGACTGCTCTGTGGGTTATAAAACTTGGCAGGTATTTAGCAACTGTCTGAAGAGCAGGAATGATGGGTATTTGTTTGCATTACTGCAGTGCCTGGAAGCCCCAGCCACGGATCCAGATCCCGGTGTGCACGGCGCTGTACAAACACAGAACAAAACGATGGCCCCTGCCCTACAGTGCAAGGCAAGAGACAACAGATGGAGCCAGCCAGGGGCATACTAGTGTTGGACAACGGGACAGGCAGGGGCTGGAGGGTGAGAACTGGCAGCCACTCCTAAAAGCACTCACAAGATTAACCAGACTACAACACAAAGCGTTTCCTAGAGGCTGTTCTCAAAGGAGATTTGCCCTGGCTGGGTGCGTGGCAGGGGAGCACTAGCAGAGTGCCGCAGCTCGAGAGGGGTGAGTTTGAGCTCTTTTCTGGGTTGGCTTGAGGCATCGAGGCAGAGGTGAGCGAGTAACACTTGCCCTTTCAGGTCCCAGTGTCGTTCAAGGATATCTCGTCTCCTTTGCTCAGGGGCAGCGGGAGATGCTGGCAGAATGGCAGAGGGAGCTGTACTGGGATGCGATGGTGGAGAGCTACGAGACGCTGGTGTCACTGGGTAAGTGCTGGAGCGCGATGGACGTGGCTTGAGGTTTCCACCCCTGTGCTGAGAGCACCTACTCGACCTGCTTTTTATCAAGGGTAGTAAGAGCTCTTGGGGCTCAGCACACTGGGCACTGCAGTCCCCTGCTCCTTGCACACTAGTGTCTTTGGTTTTGCCCAGACAAGGGGCCAGGTCACTGCCATGAGTATCCCTCGGTCATTATCCCAGTGGCGAAAGTGGCTTCTCCCTTGCCAACGGTCCAAAAACTTTGTGATGCACATATTTAAAATGAAGGAAAAGCCCAGTCTAAAACAGATGCCTTCACAATGGGCCGTTGTTCTCTGCAATGCTGGCAGTACCCCACTGTGGTCCCTGCAGGCTCAGGGTGCAGGGTTTTTTGGTCTCTTTGGCCACCAGGATCGGGACGTTACCTGGGAACTTCACAAAGTGGACAAAGGTGCAGCTTTGCTTGCCTTTTCATGCAGCCTGTTTAACCCCTGGTGCCAGCAGCAGTAAAAAGTGTCCTGTGAAATGCCCTGTCACGGATGTGGGTAACAGGAGCACTAGGACTTGCTGTAATGAGGGTTTAGGAATCGTTTGGATAGGATCAAAGCCCTCATGCTCTGGGGCAAAAGCCACCCTTTAATTTTTGGCAGCGAGGAAGAAATTTTCCCTGCAGGCTTAGACTCCTGGAGCTGGGAGGGACCTCGGGGATCAGGTGGCCCAACCGCCTTCATGAATGCAGGAGGCTTCCCTGAAACCATCCGTGCCCTGTGCTTCTCCGGCCTCTTCTTGAGGTTTGGTCTTCCATGCATAGAATAAGGGCTGGGCTCCTCTCGCTGCCTGTTAGTGGTTGCTGTTGAAAATAGTGTTGGATTCAGTCCAGCAATTGCTGCGTTCCTGTTAAAGCAAAGCCGGTATGGAAACGGGAAGTAAAGTCGGTGTTGCAGTGTTGTATTTACGAGAGCTGGGAAGGCCAGCGCGGAGGGGCTGGGTGATACTCCCGGAGCCAAAGGGGAATCTGTGTCAGGGCGGGGCAGCAGTGCAGAGCAGGGTCTGAGCCCCAGTCCTATGTTCAGACCACCAGACCACATCGCAGAATCGCAGACAAGGAGGGTTAAAGGGAGCTCAGGAGGTCACAGCTAGTCCACCCCCCTGCTCCAAGCAGGACCAGCCCCAGCTACATCATCCCAGCCAAGGTTTTGTCTACCCGGGTCTTAAACACCTCCAAGGATGGTCCCCCACGTCGTTGGGGAGTCTGTTCCAATATTTTACTACCCTCCTACTGAGAGAGTTTTTCCAGCCTCAACTTCCCTTGCTGCAGCTTGAGCCCATTGCTCCTTGTCCTGTCATCTGCCCCCAGTGAGAACAGCCCAGCTCCATCCTCTTTGCAGCCCCCCTGCAGGGAGGTGAAGGCTGCTATTCAATCCCCCTCTGTCTTCCCTTCTGCAGACTAAATCAGCCCAGTTCCCTCAGCCTCTCCTCACCAGTCCTGTCCCCCAGCCCCACAGCCAGTTTCATTCCTCTCCACTGGACTCTCTCCAACTTGTCCACATCCTTTCTGCAGTGGGGGCCACAGCTGGACACAGGACTCCAGATGTGGCCTCCGCAGTGCTGAACAGAGGGGAATAATCACTGCCCTCGATCTGTTGGCAACGCTCCTGCCAATGCATCCCAGGATGCTGGTCGCCTTCTTGGCACCGAGGGTGCACTGCTGGCTCCTGTTCAGCTTCTTGTCCCCTGTCCCCCCCAGGTCCTTTTCTGCAGAGCTGCTGCCCAGCCCATCGGTTCCCATGGTGCAGTGGAAAGCCAGCATCTCTCCTAAGGGTGCAGGACACTTTCTGTGCAGCCTTTTGCTGGATGACACAATGGGCAGGGGCAGGCTCTGATTGTCTCTGCTGGTTTGTAACGTGCAGGTTGTGATGCACCGAAACCCAAGATCCTGCTGCTGATGGAAGAAAAAGGAAAGCCTTATGCAGAGGACGCTGCTGACCAAGCTGGCAGAGATCTTGATTGTGCATCTGCAGGTGAGGGCCTGAGATCACTGCAGGTGGAGAGGAGGAGAGGCTGGAAGAACTGGGCTGGTTCAGTCTGGAGAAAAGAAGACTTGTTGGTGGGGGGGGTCCTGAAGGCTGGTTATAAAGATGGTGATAAACTATTTTCTATGTCACAGGGGACAGGACAAGAAGCAATGGGCTTTACATTGCAACAAGGGAGATTCAGGTTGGATATTCGGGAGACCCTTTCTAACCCTGAGGGTGGCCCAGCACTGAGACGGGTACCTAGAGAGGCAGTGAAACCTCCCTTCTTGGAAGTTTGTAGGAGCAGGTTACACAACTGCGTGGCTAGGATAGTTCAGACAGGCGTTACCCTGCCTGAGCAGGGGGTTGCACTAGACGACTTCCAGCCTTGTTCTGCTGTGCTTCTCTGAGAAGAAATGCCACCGGATTTAAGTAGAAGGGGTCAAAATATTTCAGAAGAAAAGATGAGCTTGTTGAATTGTGGCCGTTTCTGGGAAACTTGCGTCTTTATTTCATTGTGCTCCAAGTTTTTGGTAAAGAAAATGGAAATTCCTACGACAGGTTTGGCAAAATAGTCTACTAGCCCCAAACATAAGCCCATTCTGAACCTAATGGAACGGAAACAATTTGAAAAGCCCTTGGAGAGAAAAAAGTTTCAAGTAGCGAGCTTGCTTAAAAACATCGTGTTTGGTTGCTCCAACCCAGAAAAGACAGTGGCCGTTTCACTCATCCCCTGCTCTACACAGACACTTTTGTCCTTGTTTTCCCCGATGTGTGTGGCAGTGACCTTCTCTGCAAACTGCACTGGCTTCGTTTTAGGGGGAAAAAATGAATGTGTCCCTACTGTGAGAATACATCCCTTGGGAGATACTCTACCGTCCAAAGCATCCTGTGGTTGAAAGCATAGACATGTATGTTCCCACTATGGCCAGTGTCCTCCCACTCCCTGCTGGGTCTGTGACCACGGAGCCCTCCCAAGCCTGCATCTCCCTCTTCGGCAACTATACAAACAGCTCAAATATTCCTCAAGCTCGGAGCTCTTTACCCCTCTCGAGTTATCCTTGTGCTCAGCCCCTCCGTAGGGGTTTCCTCCTTCCTTGCTCTCCTCTGGGTCTCCTTGTGGTCTGTTAGTAGCTTTCCAGCAAGGACGCATCCCAAATAATGACAATTCATGGGAACTTTCCAAAAGAAGTTTTTTGTTGGGCAATGCCAACTTGTCCAAACCCAGACCTTGTTATGGGAACACGCTTACAGATTTGTAGGGAAACTTTCTCAGGCCTGAACTGAAATTCCTGGAGATGGGGATGAGAGGCCTGGATAGCCTGTCCCTGGGAGGTCAGAGCACTGTCCTGGAGTGGGGGACACTGGTCTGAATTGGAAGAGCTGGGTTTTCTGTGACCCTGGCGATGCCTTGACCACCCTGTTGGCTTTTCTGGGCTGGGGCCGGGTTCACTTCTTTGCAAAAGCTCTGGGGTGACTCTGAGCACTTTCAGTGCGGAACAGGAGAAATTTGGGAGTCCCAATTTTGGCAGGATGGAGAAACCAGCTGAGCCGTAGGCAAGGTAGAGTGGTCCTGCCCATTCAACAGCTGTGATGGGCCACTGGATGGTCTTCTGTCTGGTCTGGTAGTAACCTCACAAAATCCTAGAGAAGTGGGGCTGGAAGGGACCCCGAGCGGTCACATCTAGGCCAAGCCCCTGCTTGAGGCAGGATCAGCCCTGTCCAACCCATCCCAGACAAATCCATAATTGAAACTCTTTGTAAAATTACCATCAACCCTAACACAACCTTGACAGTAGCTTGCATCCTTTGGAAATAATGGAGCAACTCCTCACCGATTGCAAAAGCACGTCTGCCCCCAGCGTTGCTTGCATTTCTTGGCAGTACGTGCTGGCATACCTGTGACTAAATGTGCTGACGAAATGCAGGGGAAAAGTCTCCTCTTCTTTCTCTGCATTGACACAGATCGTTCTTTTTTGCAGTGGCTGAACGCCTTCGCAGGAGCGGAAAGCTGAAGCTAGAGGACCATGAAGTTGAAATCCGAGTCCATGAGAATCGGTATCTCTCAGTAAAGGATCGGCCTATTTGGCAGGGCTTGGAGCGCCGTGCTGTGTGTTTAGAGGCTTGGGTGCACTCAGCCTCTCATCCTGCCCTTGGAGAGGCTCATGGTGATGAGCCTGCTGATTTCGGCAAGTGCCAGACCAAGGCCCACGGAGAAATGGAGGTGCCTGTCAACACTTCTCCTCCACACGATGGTAGATTATGGCGGCAGGTACAGGTGAACAGCAGCTTGCCCCAGGACCCCTGCTGCCCTGTGAAGGAGGAAGTTGAGGACGGTGGCTATGGAGCGGGTCCCAGGGACTCCAAGGAAGAGCCTGAGTCTCCGCTGGGCTCTGAAGGCTCCTGCCCACAGCCGGGCACCGCTGACAGCCAGAGGAGCCGTGCTGGAGCGGGTCCGTGCCGGGCTGACGAGGACCCGAGTGTTTTTGTCTACAAGACTGAGACGATCGGGGATCTCGAAGTCCACGTGGTGGAGGCGGCTGTGCCCGGCAAGGACGGGGAGTCCCGGGGGGCCGGATGGGGAGCGCGCTCCACGGACCTGCGCTGCCCCGAGCCGGCTCAGGCCTGGTGGGAGCCCGGCGGGGAGCGTCCGTTCCACTGCAGCCGCTGCGGCAATGCCTTCCGGCGGCGCTCGCACCTCACCGAGCACCTGCGCACCCACACGGGCGAGAAGCCCTATGGCTGCAGCCTGTGCGCCAAGCGCTTCGGCCGCCGCTCCACCCTCAACAAGCACCAGGAGACCCACGCCAAGGAGCAGCCCCACGAGGCCATGGCGGGCCAGCCCATGGGCCCAGGTGGCCTCCGGCCACGCTGCCCCCAGACCCCCCCGGCAGACAAGGCCTATCCATGCCGGCGGTGCCACAAGACCTTCAGCACGTGGGCATACGCAGCCCGGCACGAGCGCACCCACCTGGAGGAGAAGCCCCTTGCCCGCCCGTTGTGCCCCGAGCGTTTCGGTGGGGAGCTGGGCCAGCCTCGCGCCGTGGACAAGCCCTTCCCCTGCGGCCTGTGTGGGAGCTGGTTCCGGCGCCGCTCGCATCTCAGCGACCACCTGCGCACGCACACGGGCGAGAAGCCCTTCCCTTGCAGCCTGTGCACCCGCAGCTTCAGCCGCCGCTCCACCCTCAACAAGCACCAGGAGACCCATGCCAAGGTGGTGCCCGAGCCCCCGGGCGAGGAGCCTCGGGGGGTTTGCCACGTGGCCGAGCCCTACCCACGCGCCCGATGCCACCGGAGCTTCAGGGTGCGGGCATGTGCCCTGCGGCACGAGCGGGCACACAGGGAGGGGTGGCCAGCGCCACCCAGCACAGGTGACTGTAGTGTTGTCACCCAGACGTCCGGCATCCAGTGTGAGGCCAGTCCAGGAGGCGGGAAGTTGCCGTGCCCTCTCATGCAAGAAAACGGCCACAGCTCTCTGGCCCGTGGGACCAAGGAGGAGCTGGGAGTGCCCAGTGGGGACAGGCCGTATCACTGCAGCCTGTGCGAGAAGCGCTTCCGGCTCCGGTCAGCCCTGAGCAAGCACGAGCGTGCAGAGGCAGCGAGGAGGCTTCCCCGGAGCCCGCGGGTGCCGTGGTGGCGGCAGCGGGCGAGCACCGGGGAGGAGAAGCCGCACACATGCGGGCTGTGCGGGAAGCAGTTCCGGCGGCGCTCCTACCTGGCCGTGCACCGGCGCGTGCACCTGGAGGACGGGCCGTACCCCTGCGCCCTGTGCGACAAGCTCTTCGTTTTCAAGGGTGACTTCGTCAAGCACTACGGCTTCCACACGGGCGAGAGGCCCTACCCCTGCCCCTGCTGCGCCCGCAGCTTCCGCAAGCAGTCCCACCTCACCGAGCACCTCCGCATCCACACCGGTGAGAAGCCGTACCCTTGCCCCCGCTGCGGCAAGCGCTTCGGGCGCCGCTCCACTCTCACCAAGCATCAGCAGCTCCATGCCCGCCATGTCCCTGCTCCCCAGGCTTGTTCTGTGGAGTCTGCCATCCAGCAGGCACCCGTGCCCAGCGTGTGACGGGGTCCTGGGAACAGGGTGCACCCGAATGAGCATCCTCTGGCCGGGCAGTGCCCAGCGGCATGCCTAGAGGAAGGGCAGATGCCTGGATCGCCAAAGCATCCTGCTTGTTTCCAGGTGGCCCCAGGCGCAGGCTTGCACTGAGATGGCTTGTGTGGGATGCTTTGCTCAAATCATTTGCTAAACCTAGACCTGGCTAGGACTGGCTAGAGAAGTCGGGCTGGACAGGACCGCCAGAGGTTACATCTAGTCCACCCCCTGCCTGAGGCAGAACATCCCTATCCAGACCATCCCCTAATCTAAATGCTACATAAGATGACCCCCAGTCCTGCTACAACACAGACCTAACACCTGAACCTGCCGCAGATAAAGTAGGAGGCATGCCAGCCAACATCCTGCTTCTGCAAAATGTAAATATTTGCTCAAGAGGTGCCAGGCAGAGAGTCTGAGAGAGTCACATATGTGAGAGGGAGGGTGGAGAAGCACTGGGGCAGGTTGCCCAGAGAGGTGGTGCAGTCTCCATCCTTGGAGGTGTTGAAGACCCAGCTGGGGTGATGCAGTTGGGGCTGGTCCTGCTTTGGCCGGGGTTGGATTGGATGCAACCTCCTGAACTCCCTTCCAGCCCTCATTTTCTTTTAATTTATAATGGGTCATTTCTGGTGCAGGGGTGTTTTGGTAGAAGCTGGGATCAAACCTGGGACCTTTTGGAGCAGAGATCTCAGCCAAGCCTCCCTTGAGCCAAAGCAGCAACAGGCTTGTCAGCACCCTCTGCGTGGCCCAGCATGCCAAGGAAGGGCAGGGGAGATGTGCCAGGATGAATAGGCACGACACACAGCTGAGAGCTTTCTATCGCTGGGTGCTGGAAGACCAGGAGGTCTCCTAAACTGAGCAGTCATTCACCATCGCAGGGGTGTGAGGCAATGGACCTGCCTGAGTTGGAGCCGAACCAGTCATCCAGCCTGGTGCTCCTGGATCTGGACGTGATGGCCACATTCAGCATTTACTGGCATGTTTCAAGAGTGCCGTCCTGGCCCCCTTTATCTGCAGCATCAGTTGGATGAGCAGGCCCCCGCTTTGGTGCCTCGCGTTGCTGTGCGGTGACTGAGCAGCGGCCATGTTCCACCCCAGAGACAGCTGCATGTCTGTGGGTGGTTAGTTTTACCCTGTCTGTTGATTGCGGGTCTCAGAGGTGTAATGCGTTACGGCACACAGCCCTCTCGCAGGAGACGCTGCATGCATGGGAGTAGAGGTCTGCTAAACAGCCGTGTACCACAGCATGCCCAGCTGGGCAGTCGCAGGGGTGGATGGAGGCTGCTGCATGAGCTTTGCCCCCACATCCTGCAGGCTCCTCCCTCTTCAGAGCAGGTAGGTGCAGCTGGAAAGGATGAAAGTCGGATGCTGGACGCCGTGGACAGCGCGAGTGGGGAAAGACTGAACAGCAGCAATCCCAGCTGCGTCCCCTCCAGCTGATCTTGGACCTCTCGCACGCCTTGGCTTAGCTGTACATGGACAATAAAGAGGTTAAATGAAACTGCCCTGGTTGGTGCTTATGATGGATGAGGACGTCAGGGTCAGCCTGTACACACATCTGGGTTTGATCTGAGCAGATCTTGGCAGAGGGCAGGATCCAGGTCCTCTCTTTTCCCACAGCTCCCTCGATCTGTTTCCTCGGTGCTCTGGGCCTTCCATTCTCCCCGGGCTTTATAAAGGCCCAAGAGAAAAAATGGCTCGAGTAGGATAGAGGACATGCTGTAATGCAGGGTCTAGTCCCAGCTCTACCACTGACTTGCTGGGCGAACTTTGGCAAGTCACTTAGTTCAGGATTTGCAGGCACTGTAATGGGCTGCCCGTCACAGGATGGCCATCCTATGCCTGTTCTTCTACTCCAGTGCCCTCTTTCTGGCTTCCTCTGTCACCGCCATGCCTTGACGTCAATAGATTTGGAAGGCTGCTGCCTTCAGGCTTCGGCCCCTACCACTTGGGCTTTAGCCCCTAGCTGCCTGCTGGGTCCTTGAGCCCGCAGCGCTCTGTATGGGCCCAGGGTGGGCACTTTGCTCACATATAAATACTCACCACCCAGCCCCGGCACTGGCCCTTGCTCCCAGCATCCCAGCTCAGGGCGGCTGTAGCTCCTGGTGCAGCCGTCACAGGGTATGGGGACTCCCCGCTGCGCACCGGAGGCTGTAGGTGTACTGAGGGCAGGGAAAGGGGGTGCTCCTTGGTGTGGAGCCAGAAGCTGTGCCTGCATGGGGCACATGCATACAGCTGCCATGTGTGTGACTGCAAGATGTCTTTCCATGTGAACATGTGCCCACAGGTGTGCAAGGCCAGCCTGGCAGGGGCAGCATCCTCCCCTGCACCTCCTGGCTGTGGAGAGGATGCCCCGGGGCTGGAGAGGCAAAGACCCTCACGGACTGCCTCCTGCTTGGGGATATGCAGAGGCTGAGGGCTCCCCAGCCGGCCATGGAGGCGGCTTCAGACTTTTGGGCTCTTCGGCTGAGACCACGAGCTCCATCTCTGCTGGCACAAGGGAGAGGAGATGCGTGGGAGTCAGCACGCCTGGTGCAGGGCATCATGCAGGGAGCACCAGGCTGTCTTCTCCCCCCTGGGCAAGAGGGGCAAGACAGGCTGCCTATGCCTGGTCCCTTACACACCCACCGGCAGTGCAGCAGAAGCAGAGGGAGGAAAGCGGTGTGCTGCCCTGCTGCATGGGGAACAAAACAGGCAAGGGCGGCTCAACAGCACCTTTCACTAGGCCAGGGGTTGGCTGCCCAGAGGCCAGTGCTTGTGACCTGGCTTCTGCCACGGGCCACCCCCTCGGCAATCAGCAGATGCTGCGAAGGGGCTAGGTGGAAAAAGGCAGGTGCTGGGATGTGGGGACGTCTCCCCCACTGCAGCAGAGAGAGAAGAAACTAAACACAGCAGCAGCAGCAGCACGCTGGGGGCACCTCCTCTGCCGCTGTCTATTCCCAGGCTGGGTCTGGCCCCCGGGCCGTAGGTTGTCAAGCTCTGTGCTAGGCCACAGAGAGAGCCCGAGATCTGTCAGGGCTTCGCCGGTGCCCGTGCTCTGCTGCAATCCCGTTGGTCTGGGAGAGGCAGCTCCCCCCTCCTGCCCAGCGTGTGCTGTGGGATGGGAGACAGCCAGGACCGGGCCTCCTGCCAGGGCCGAGATGGAGCCGCGCGGGAATCGAGGGTCAGCGTGGCTGCGGTGCAATCCCCGGTGCAGCCGGGAAGTCTCTGTCGTTCAACGTGGGCCTGGGTGGTCTCTGACAAGGGGCTGCTCCCGGCAAACAGGAGACCCCTATGAGCATCCGTGCTAGGACTCAGCTGCGTCACTGCCTTCAGGCGGCTCTCCCCTCACTCCCCAGGGCAGATGTGCAGTCAACAGCCCCTCCACGCACAGCTGTTTCCATCGCTCTTCTCGGGCCCTGCTGGACCAGAAGCAAACGCCGAGCATCTCGTTAAAAAGCAGCTGCTCCCCTCGCCCTAACGGGATTCCTTTCCCATTTCTGGCCTTGAGGAGCGGCCATGCAGCAAACCCGCACCGGCTCGGGGACACGAGCACCCAGCCCAAGCCTGCGGCAGGTGCAACATGGCTCCCAAGCAGCTGGCAGGTCTGCATAACAGCAGGTCTTAGGCGAGACGCGTTAAGTAGGCAGAGGGCAAGTGAGACCGTCGCAGAGGCGAGAGAAAGCAAATGCTCCATAAGGTCACGTACACGTCCAGCTGACCACCCCATGTGTGCACGCACCCATGCGCACGCACACACACTCGCACTGCATTCAAATTAAACCAACTGAGGTGGGAGCACAGGGCCAAAACCAGGAGAATCAAATGTCACCCCAAATGCAGCACATCTCGGTCTCTTCATCACAGCTGCGAAGCCTGCTCACCACCTTCCTCACCACCCTGCCACGTGGCAGCCCCGTGCTTTCAGAAACTCCTGGGTTGCACAAGGGCAGCCCAGGGCTCCAAGGATAACAGCGCTGGACTGAGCTCTGGAGAAAACAATGCCCAATGTCCCGTCCGGTCAGCTGCGGCAGTCACGCATTTCGCTAGCCTCTGCAGTGCTACCCTGTGCCGCCTTCTGCGTGACTGCAGGCTAACAACCGCACTGCACTGCACTGCACTGCCTGTGCATCTCCCTGGAATAGCACTTACCTTCACAGAGTGCTCCGGGGCTCTGATGTCCCAGCACTTCCCATGACATGTCCTAATACACACCCTGCTGATGTAGGAATTACGATGTTTTATAATATCAGATATAAGCAAGCTGGTTTTGCCGGTCTGAGAGAAAGGCAGTGATAAACAGGCAGTCCAGATGCAAATGTCAGAGGGACGAAGCACACTGAACCACAGATGTGCTAATGCAGGGGCAAAGGTGGATGAACAATAGCTAGGAGATCGTTGTGCCCAGTTTTGGCTCCAGGAGGGCTAGGGGGAAGCCCACCAGGAAAGTAAGAAGAAAGTTGTGTGCGCTCAAATCAGAAGACAGGTAAATCTGGACGTTTGGGGGCAGATCTGATCTATTTCTAGGGCTCAGAAGATGATGTTAGTGAGAGAGAGAGAGAGAGAGAGGTTTTTGCTAGTGTGAGCTTATCTGCTGGAACCAGCTAGCCCGGGACAACTCAGATCTCCCTCATTAGCCCACGCTAGATAGCTACGCCAATCAAGTGCTTGTCACTGTAATTACCGCATGGGTTCAGTCATTAATAAGTATTGTAACGCCGCTGTCTAATCGATGGTTTGTCTTCTGCTACAGGACATGAGTGGTCCCTCCAAGGAGCTGTACAACTGTCACTAGTCTTTGCATTTCACACAGGCGTTTTAGCTGCATGACCAGCTAAAATGCAGCCAACTTCCAGCAGCTGTTCAGCCATGCGTATTTTTTTTTATTGCTAAACAGATGGCCTTTTGGATCAGTGTCGCTGCACAGGATTTCTGTTACAGCCGTGCTTCCCTTTGCCTAAGCCCATGGCCAGGCACCTCCGGCTGATCTCTCCCCCAGTCTCGCCTATGCTGCCCCTTGAGGTCTCACTGGAGGAAGACACATCTCTTGGCTAAAGAGCATAGAGAGTCGGGGGGGTGGGGGTGGATAAGCCCATGGGGGCCAGGGGTTGGCACTAACCCCAACCGTTACCCAGAGGTGAGTGATCCCCAGATGGGGCACATCTCAGGGGAAGGGAGCAAACGGGGTCAAGAGATGGCATGAAGACAGGTGACAGGCAGGAGACTCCGCGGTGCCTTTTGGCACTTCCGCCTGAGTCAAGCCCACCAGGCTGGTCTGAGCCTGGCACCTGCAAACCCACTGCAGCCCCTTCCTGGGGGGCACAAACAGCAGCCAGGCTGCAGTGCTCAGCTGTGCGGCTGCCCCCTCAGCTGTGGTGCTGGCGGGCTGGGGCCGGCGAGCTGCTGGGACAAGAGGCAGGAAGGATGGAGGAGCCAGCCTACTCAGAGCTGGCCAGGCCCCGCAGCATCTCTCGCTCTGCATCCGCGGGCTGAAGCTGGTTTCTCCCCTGCAAGGCCAAGGAGGAACAACTCAGCTGCGGGCTCCGAAGCACCTGGCTCCTGCCAGCCACCTCGGCTCTGCTTGCTGTTTGTAGACAGCAGATAAGAGACCAGATCCGTGAGCTTTGGAAAGGCCAGGCCATACAGAAGGGCTTAATGCCTGGTGCGACCCCATGGTGCAGGGTAAGCTGGTCCCGCTGATGTACCCCAGGACGCTGTATACACTGGGTTTCTCCTTCGAAAGTGGCCTCCGACTGGAACGGTGGTGGCCCCCAGTTCCTGTCTCTTTGCCTGGCGTTTCTATATTCCAACAGGCTCGAGAGCGTTTCCACCTCCTGGCAAGCAGCCCTGCAGATGACCCTAGGCTCTCGCACCATCAGAAAGGCCTGCGCAACCCTGTTGCCTCCAGCGAGATTTCACAGACAGAACAGGTCAGGATGAAGCTGTCCTTTTCGTGATGGGTACAAAGAAACAGACTCCAGCTACTTCTCCAAGCGGGGCTGAACAGCAGAAACAACTTATTTTTGCCCTTCAAGAGAGAAGCTGAGACTCGGAGCGCACAGGTCTCTGCCTAAGATGGCTATGTTTTCATCAGGGTCGAATTATACCTTATGCCGCTGCTTCTCAACTAGGCTGCCATGGCCCCCTTGGTACCTTGAGATGCTTTCAAGGGTCTGCATAATGTCAGCACTGTTAGGTGTATAAACGATTCACAAGAGAAGCTCCGAGATTTCAAATAGGACTCTTGTTTTAAAAACATCCTGCCCTGTTGTGGGCTGAGAGCTTGGCAACACAAGAATTGCTGCAGTATTTTTCCATAGTCAAAAACCAAGTGAAAACTAGAAGCTGGCATTTTATGAGGGGGCCTTGAGTCTAATAGGGGGTGCCTTGATCCTAAAAAAGGTTGAGAAACACTGCCTTACGCTCTCCTTGTTGAACCGGTTGAAACCCGGCTTCTGCTAAAACTCTGCAAAATGTCTAGCTGGAAAATTCTTTCCAAATGTAGGTTAAAAAGCTCTTTCCACAT